AATCTGGAATAAAATAGGCTTTTTTGCAGACATTCTGCAGCTAAACGAAAGAAAGAAATCTATTTTAATAAATTGAGGTATTTTATATTTATTTCACAGCATACATAAGGAAAAATATGTGCATTAAATTTCGTGATGGTATGTCATCACTGCTATAATTAATTTCAGGATTATGCCATAGAAAATTTCCTGAAATTTGGAAATATTATTTACTATAATAAATAAATTTAGAGGGAAGAAGCAACATTAAATTATATGAATAACATAAAAAAAATACTTAAAAATTGAATTAGAATAATCAACGATATTTTAGCGAATATAGTTATATTACATGGCTAGCCTAGATGACTGATACTATTTTTTATTTTACTGCAAAATGGCAAGTATTATTAAAAGAAAAAAAAAAAAGGTTTAAAAGATTTTGCGGTAAAATTCTAGTATACGGTAGGCTTGGCACGATTTTGAAAATTATCGCCAAGACCAAATGACCCGTTTACTGCGCATCAGATGTCGCCAAATCCCATTATTATTCAACTAAAGAACGTCTATGTAAAGAAGAAAAGGTTCCATACAAGTAAAATGCTATTACGCCGCTAGAATGCGGAGGAAAATTTGCCAAGGATTTGGCGACGGAACCTGGCGGCCAGAATTTCCCTCTTCGCGATGTGTACAGGAAAAATTGAGAAACACGTGTTAAGAAACGCTCTTTAACAAAAAGAAATACGAAAATCGTTTTTAATTATTGCGAAAATCCAAGAAGAAACGTTTTATCAAAGGACGTTTCTCTTGGATTTTTCGCATAATAATTTAAAAACGGATTTTCGTAGTTTTTTTTTTTTTTTTTATTTTTTCCCCTGAAAATAACTAATCCATGAATTAATTTACTTGCGCCAAAAAAATTTTCTTTCCTTTAGAGTTTAACCACTTGCGCTAAGACTAAACTTCACAGTTGTGGTGCCGTGCGCTACAATATAACACGTCGTAAAGTGTCTCATTTACGCCGTCCGCATCTGCGAGTGCATCCAGAGCTGTAACTCGAGAAATAAACAATCTCGTTGTTAGGCGACGTTTTCACACGTTTTTTCATTTTTTGCGATAACTGCTTATCGACGTGGTGTTCACGTCGCTCGCGGTTTGAGACAAAAGATCTTGACGGCGGCTTTTTAGCGCAAGTGGTTTTAGAAATTTTAAACGATATTCATTTTTATGAACTCTTGATAACGTGACCTTCGAAACTTCGACACCATTTCGGCTTTGGCGACAGATATATCAATGCACAGTGTTTCCCTCTATGATGGAACGAGCCACAGCCACGTCTGTTGCAGAGGTTTTCCTTCTTTCAATACATATTCTTTGATTCTAACCTCCATGGTACCGTACTAGGATTAAACCCATTTTGTTTCATACGAGAAACAGGTCTTTCTTTAGTCATGCACTGCATGCAATTCTCGAGAATATTGGAAACCAAAGTTGCTTTGCCTTTCTAAAGACAAAAATTGGAGCTGCGAAAATTGGCTCTATGCCAGCTACCCGAATGACACTCACGTGATACATAATTCGCAAAAAAAAGTTACCTTTGAGTCGGCGCACAAATCGCTTTTTTTGGCGGGATGTGTATAACTTCCCTGACTTTTCCAGATTTGACAAAAATACTTAAATCCCTGACTTTCCTGAATATTTTGGTCAATTTTCGAATTCCCTGACTTTTCCCGGTTTTCCAGGTAGCGTGGCAACCCTGTTAATAGCAACAAAGAATACAACTGTATAATTTAAAAAGAAAATCTGACCATTCAGAACTCTGATTTTTCCTATATGTGAACTTTTTCTTAAAAGCCCATTCAGAAGAGAAAATGTATAAGAATAATCCAAGAATAGCAAAAAATCTGTACACAGTATTAAGAAAAGTAATAAGATTTAATCTGAAGTTACTGTCAGAAACCACCCTACACTACATCGCTCACAGATAATCCTAAACTGCAGATGATATTATATTGCCATTAATTCCAAAGTTCTTGGATCACCACAGTTACATCTAACAGAGTGTACTGTTTAAGCTGCTTGGAATCAAATACAATTAAATTGAGCAGACTGCCCTCATATGATAAATTACATAATCTAACTCAATTGTTTCCTTTATGCAATCCCATATAAAAAAAATTCAAAAGTGACCAATTCAGACACTAGAAAAACTCAGGAGATCAGTATGACTTAAGAACTACCAATGAAATGATAAGGTCACTGTTTTTGTGATTGAGTAAACATTCACAGCTATGACTTTAGCATAAAAGATAAATTTGCTTTAGCATATAAAAATAATTAATTTCTGAAGTTAGGTTTATTTACCTCAAAATTATGATTGTACAGATATCATTTTCTTCTTATCATTAAGTGGATGCAAGCAAAATCAATATATAAGTCTTTATTAATATATTTTAATGATTATAAGTCACTTTATAATGTGTAACAATTAACTAAGGTTTGTTATATAGCTGTAAAAATTTGTTTAAAGAGAAAAACAAAAAATTGCTAAAATTTTATTCAAAACTGCATAAGTTTTAAAAATTGATATGCAATATTAAAATCCAACTGAAAATGCTATATTGATATTACTTAGGCAATAATTCATTATGAATTTGTTTTATAAAATCCATAAAATGTAGATACAAAAACACAACCTGAAACAGGTTTCACAAATATGCTTATATGATGCACAGCTTCATATACAATAAAAAATACATTCCCTAGAAATACCTTATTATGTTACATTACATGATAATAATTCAGTAACAAAATTTTAAAGGTACGATAACATTATTTCAATAGACTTCTGAATGTGAAATATAGTTTTAACTACTATTTAAATTTCAATAGAAAAAAATTCAAGATGAATTATACTGATTTTTTAAACACAATCTGTAATAGTACAATTTTCTCTTTTCAGCATACTAATTGATCTCTGAATTCAACACATACAGATGCAGACTGAGTTATCAATTAAATATTTTCCAAATATGTCCACCCCCCAAGAAAAAAATGAAATTTATTATTTGATAAATTATTTACATATATATGTTTATTTACAGTTCATTAATTTGACTGATAAAGTTCATGCAACCTCTGAATGTATATATATGAAAATCTAACTAGTTTTACTGCATATACTTAGACATAGTATAGATTAGCGCATGAGCAAACAAATTATACGGATGTTTACAGCTTGTTAAATTCCCTGGTTGATAAAATAGCTGCTTATTGCTTCCAAATTTGCAGGAATTGAAACAAATTAATCAACATAAAAACTGCTACTTGATAAACTCAAAATTTAACAAAGATTCTTCAGTGCTAGAATATGTTACTCATTCCTATCAAGTTTGTAGTTTATACATTTACCTTACTGGAGATTATGGCGTATTTACTATTCAGATATGCACTGCTTCAATAAAATGAGTCTTGGCAAAATTTTGGACAGTATTTCACACTCCCAGTCCTTTTACCTCTCAAGTACTTTTTCTAAAGCTCTTTATCTATACTATAACAATGCACAAATTAAAATAGCATTCCAAATAAGTGAATGTTTCCTTTTGAAAAGCAATTTATAGGAGGTGGAAATTTAACCTCTGCATCCCATCTTTTAGGGTTACCATATTCAGAATCTTCACATTATATTCATAGGAGGTTCTCAGAAAACCTCATTATCGTATATCATCAGTCTTTGAATGGGAGAACTCACTGTAGAAAGAAGAAGCAAAGAAAATGCTGTTATTACCTGCAACATCATGAAGTGGTAACGTGACTTTTAAAAGACAAAGAGCAATATTTTTGCTGACTTGAAATGCGATTTTTGAAATTGAACAAATAACTGGAAGAAATGCTTTTTAAAGATTTTAGCCTAAAAGTAAAAGTTAATTTAATTTTTAATTTTTTAAAAATTTTTTATTTATTTATTTATTATTTTTTTTTTAAAGATTATTATGCTCTTGGAACATGCAAACAAAGAGAAACTGCTTTTAAACATAGGTTAACCAATTAGGACAAAGGAACATATGGGCTATTGCGCCCATTGGAAGGGATGCATACATGAAATACTTTTTAAGGAAAACTGGTTCATATATATATTACACATGATGAAAACTTTTATAAACAATCATTCAGCTCATCTGCTCTCTGGGATGCAATTCGAGGTCAAACTACCAGTTTCAGTAACTTTACCATTTGGCCGCTTTTAAACTGGGTATTTCCTAAACAACATAGTGCAATTTATTTAAAGACTTATAATTGATGAAGTCTGAGAACTGACAATGAAAGTGATACAGCAGAAACTGAAAACATGCCAATCTTAATCTAATCCAGAAAAGTGCTGCAAATTCTAAGAAAGACTCTTGAATTGAAAAGTGATGAACAGAAAAGTTATCAGAAGTTTCAAGAATGCAATATAAAACTATTGATGAACAGAACAAAATCAACTTGGCTAGATTAGTCTTTTGTAAAAGTTTAAAATTTCATCAGATACATAATTATAAAAATATTTTTACAAACAATTTTAAAATAAATTTTAAAGCTGTGTAAATAGTTTTAAATTTATCATTTAGCTATTATATATCAAATTAATTGTTAGGCATAATCTTATTAGATAAGTTTAATCACAATTCGTAATACACATATCACTGTCCATAAACTGAATAAATTCAAATTCATTTGGAACAGAATAAATTTAATAAGTGGTGGATATAGTACATATGAACCAATTTATCTCAGTACAAAATATATGAAAATAACAGTAAATTTTAAAATTCAGCAAAAAAGCAATCTTAGCTTGATGTAAAGTTTGAATAAAACTATCGAGTTTGAGGGCACATCTCCCTTTCTTCAGGAGCACTTTTTTAAACTCAATAATATAACTTTCTATTTATGTACTTTATATGATGCAATGCTTTTTATTATTATATTAATTATGAACTGAAATATTAAAACTACAAATTTTTAACATTTACAATATTATAGTTTTTATTTGAATATTTTATCTATAATTAATAATAGAACTTAATAAAATAATCAGGAAGATAATAACCTAGAGCATACATTATTTTACATTAATAAGCAATTTACTGAATTTTATTATAATTTAAAATTGACTATTATGTAAAAAAATCTAGGGTATCTGGTTCCAAACTGGACTGGAAGTCCCATGCTATATATATATTATCTCTTTTCTTTACTGCAAAGAAATATATTGTATGATTAAATCTTCAAAAGCATATTTTAACAAAAGTTAATCTACAAAATAAATTATTTTCAGATGTATATTTTTATATCAGTTTTAACACATTTTTGGAAAGGAAAGAGTTTAACATAAATGGAGAGATTTAAAAAATGTATGCTGTGATTTACAAAGATGAGCATAAATTAAATATCAGAGTAATTTCCCTTCTCCAGAAAGGTAAATAAAGCATCCCCCTATTCTATTCACAAATAAATTTGCTGTTATATTAATCTCAGTTAGCATGAGTCCTGGATGTACAAAGGTTCAAGGAGGCAGCAAATCTAAAATTGCTGAATCTCCCCATGACTGTTGCTGTGGCTGTTGCTGTGACTGCTGTTGTTGGCCAACAGAAGAGCCTATGCCTCCTTGTGGAATGTTTCCTGGCAGTTGAGGTCGAATACCTTGAGGATGCTGTTGCATTAACATCTGATGCTGCTGCCTTCTCATTTGTTGCGCTTGCTGTAAAATACAGAAAAAGTTAGATTTTTCATATAGTCAACAAGGAACAAAAATGATTACATTTAGATTTGCTTGGAAATACATTAAATACCAAACCGGTTTCAAATGAGTAATGCTGAAAATTAATCTACTGTTTTTTGTTATCTATCAAAACTAATTTCTGATTAGAACAGAACAATAATTATGTCATTAGGCATGTAATTATTACTTTATAAGTTTATTTTTATTCTGTGACAAGATAATTGTTAAACACTTATTGATACTCACTCAATATTTCAGATTCCTTAACAATTAAATACTTAAATTTGGTACTGAAAGAAGGAAAATTGCAATTGTAAACTGTCATACCTGTTGCAGTAAGTTTCGCAGTTGAGGATTATGACTATTTTGCTGGCTAACTTGTTGCATTTGAATGCTTTGCTGCTGCTGAGCTAACTGCTGCTGTTGATGTTGCAACTGTTGCTGTAACTGTATAAAATGAATAATAAAGTAAGCTCAAGAAAATTGTTTAAAAAATTCTAAAATAAAAGTGGCAGAATTAGTTCAGACTTTCTAAAATCTGAAAGAACGCCTATGCCTTACATTCTGTTTATATGCTTTAATCATATACCTGTCATGCAAATTCTGCCGCTCATAATATTTATATTTTTAAATATCTGTATTTTCCATACAAAATTATACAAGATAAATATCATAGACATGTATTCAAATCTACTAGAAAATATTTACGTTTTGTTTTAAAGATCACATAGAAACTGTATGCTTGATTATTTTATACACAGTACAGTGTTTGGTCAATGTGCTGACAGTCCATGGCGCTGCAGATATTGTTACACTTTCTGTACAGACACTTATTGTCTTGCATGTTAGCCTCATTGTTGACTTGGATGCATGCTGTGGTTGTATGATCCCATAAGGCTGTAAGGATAATGTGTCTATCTTTTTTGGCGTTAACTGGATGACTGAGATCCGGCATGGAAGTCAATAGGTCACATCTGAACCGAGTGATTTCGTACATCTTCTGTTATGGAAATCTCACCAACAGAAGTAGCAGTGTTAACAGAATGATAAACTGCTGTTCTAATAAACCATGTCTGCCATGGCTGAATATGAACACATGCTGGTAGGAGTTTCTCCTTCTTACACATACAACTAACATTCAAACATGATTTCCAAATGAGAAACCCACTGTGCAATCTTCTGATTTATACTCAAATGTAGGTGGCGTTACTCTAAGCTGCTTTGTGAGCCTGAGCTGAAATGCTAATTATTTGCATATCCTAACATGTAGTACCTTTCATTTACATTTGATGTTTGTTACACGCTACTTTCATCGGGTAGCAATTTTAATGGCCAGCAGCTTAGTGAGATTACATGTACCCAGAGATATTTTTAACATCTCTGAGAGAGTATTTCATGCATTGAAAATCGGAAATACGCTTAAAAAAACTAGCCAGGCGTATTTTCACATATTGAATTTTTAACAAAGGTTTAGCTTAAAATATGCATAGCGCCCCATTGAAATCAACAAATAATATTTTTTTCTACTCAAAACACCACTTAGACATTTTCGCCCGACTTCTCCGCAACAAAGAATATGGGCGCGGCACTGTGCGGACTCAGCGAAGAAGGTAGAAGAAAGAAGCTGACTAATGAAATTGAAGTTTCATTGTATATTTACGAGCACTCATTTCGTCACGCATTTCATGTTAATGAATGGTCATTCGAATAGTAGAATTGGTTATCGACACACATGGTTTGGGAGTTCGGTGAAATTTCACATTACGAGCTGGAAAAATCTTTTGCACTCTTTTCAGAAAATTGAAGGCGAAGTAAAAACATGTATAAAAGTAATTAAATTTTTTCAAATTTTTCTAGCATGATTTCTAATATGCCTTTAAATTATTTTTATGTGTATAGTGTTTGCATTTTTAATTCTTTCATTATTCTGCACTAGTCAGGAAAAAAGTCGAAATTTTACCGAGAACTACCAGTACAAAAATAAAATTTTACTTCCAATCTTCTTTTTAAAAAATCATGATCTTCACTAGTCTTACAGCGCAAATCTGGCCGTTTTATTACTATTTCGTTAAAAAAATAGCAATTTTATCACATTTTTCAGCACAAAAATTGGAATTGTATTGATAATTGTCGGCTGAGATAAAAAGACATCTCCTTGCGATCTTCTAGTGGACAAACCAGGACTTAACATCCTGGTTATATGAAATTAATTCATCTAAGAGTCACCCTATGTGAAAATCGATATGCAGCTGACATCTGTCTATTCAAAAATCAGTATTTTGAGATTTTTACCAATTTTTGGTCAAAAATGAGTATTTTTTCGGATTGTACAAACCCTACTGTAAATACTCTTGTTTTTTTGAAACATTCTGTAGAGAGAAGTATAATTTTTATTATTATTGTTGTTTTAATTTGATGGTGCAAGATCGCCAAACTCATTACTGATTTTAACTAAATGTCGCTCTTAAAACGATTGTAATTTGTATTCGAGCTTATAAGATAAATTCCTCTTATATAAAAATTAATATTTTAAGTGAAATTAAGATCACATATGAAGAAAATTTTAAAATAAAGAAATTCCATACAGCCTGCAAAACGAAACGAGAGTTTCTACAAGTGATCAGCTTTTAGGAGAAGCACGTCAAAAATATTTTTTAGTTTCTATCTACCTAATTTTTTAAAACTATTTAATTTAATAGGGTGGTCCCCTTGAGACGGAAACAATTATTCCAGGAAAAAAATTAATTTAATATTTTAATATGAGTTCTAAATCTATCAAAGTTTTTTTTTATAAAAAAGCCGTCAAGCCAAGTGTCAACCAGCTCAGAACCGTCACTTAAGAAACCAAAGATTCATGCACAACCAGAAGAAACTACTTCTAAACATGATAAGTTTTTAAGTAAGTGGCTTAAAGAATTTCCTTGGGTCCTCTTCAATAAAGAGGAAAATAAAATGTTTTGAAAAACATGTCAAGCTTCCAATATGAAGAATAGCATGGGTGTGATGGGTTCATCATGTTTCCAAAGAAGTACTCTGTCTCGCCACAAAAAAAACTATGGAACACAGGCTTTCTTTCAATGCCAAGAAAGATGCTAAAGCTCTTGAAAATATCATCGAAATGGAAAAACCTACAGCAACAGATGGTGATTTGGCAGTGTTCAAAACTGTTTACACTATTAGAAAAGAAGAACTTCTAATTCAGAAGTATTACAATCAAATTTGGATGAGGATGTTTTACATAGCCTCTACATTTCTTTAATGGTAGATGAGTCAACAGATATTTCAGTTGACTATAAATTAATCATATATGTGAAATACACTGGTTATCATAAATTAAGGAAAAGTCACAAAAATCACGATTATTGAAAAAGTTACATGTAGAATTTAATGAAACTTACCCACAATATACAACACATAGTAAGGTATCAAATAACATAAAAAGAAATTACCAGACAAATATGGTAGTATAGAAATTAGCACATGTATAAAATGAACAAATCGAAGGTGTCAGTTTGCTATAGGAAAAGTACCTTCAATATGGAATATGATCGCCTCTAGGAGCAATACAGCACATACAGCTATGTGATGCTTTCAATTATACGGTCTATCAGTTCCATAGGAAGCGAGAGCCATTGCTCTTGCAAAGCAGTTGCAAGCGCGACCAAGGGTTTGAGGGGGCGGATTGAGAGCAGCTAGACGTCTCCCTAATCGAGCTGGCCACTCCATGCGCATAATTGTTTCCTATTGAAGATAATCATCTATGATGCGAGCCCTATGTGGTTTTGTGTTGTCATCCTGTAACAGGAAAGCATCACCTATTGCCCTGGCATATGGGCGCACATAAACATAAGGATGTCATCTCTATAAATCTGAGCATTCATGGTTCCCCTTGGAAAGACATGGAGGTCTGTGTGTCCACCCAAAGAGATGCCACCCCAAACACAGACACTGCTTCTTCCGTATGCATCTCTTTCACGGATGTTCGGATGATAACAAGTTCTAGGTTCTCTCCATATCAAAAAACGTCTACTATTGCTTTCTAGACTAAATCTGGACTCATCTGTAAAGAGGACCGCCCTCCATTGATCAGGCGTCCAGTGGACATGTTGTCGTACCCACTGAAAACAGTCCCTCCTATGGCGTGACATGAGCGGCACACAAATGGCTGGTCGCCTCTCATACAGATCACCTTCGTGAAGCCTTTTACGCACAATTGACTTTGACACGAACCTTCTGGTGGCTGCAGCAAGGGAGGATCTAAGAGGAGTCAGAGTAGCGTTTCTATTCCTGCGTGCACATAATGTCAAGTATCGGTCATCGATGCTCGTCATAGCAGTTGGTCGTCCTTGGCTGAACCTCCTAGATGCCAAATCTGTGGTTTAAAATTGCCTTTAAAGTCTACGAACCACAGAAGGACTCGCATTTAGCCATCTGGCCACTTCTGTTTGACTTTGTCCTGCCTCTAGTCTCCCAATGGCTCTCCATCGCAGTTCTGCAGGCAAATGATGCCTGGAGGTCATTGTCACGAATTGGCTATTTCAGATTGCTGATGTCACTGTCACAGTGAAATATGTGGGCTTGCTCTCAAAGATGGACTTTTAGCTCCTTGCAGATGACGTGTTCCGAAAGCAGCACCACTAATTTGCATATCACAATTTTATCCAGCTACTCTTACTTGGCAACATATTCAAATTTTACACGGTTTGGCTTATTTTTGAGGGCGTTATCGCTATTTTTGTGATTTTTCCTTAATTTATGATAACCAGTGTGCTTGAAAAACAATGAAAGTCAGAACAGTCTTTGGGCAAATTTAAAACTATCGGGTGAATGCAATGCAGATGCACCGAAGGAATAATGATAAAGTTTCTCAACGAAAAAAAGTACCGTTATCAAAAGTTCTTGGTCTTTCAACAGATGGTGCTGCTGTTATGATGAGAAAAAACAATGGACTTGGCAAAAAATTTCAGCTATGACACCTAGTTTGTTGCACTATCACTGCATAACTCACCATTTAGCTTTAGCTGTTTCCCAAGCTGCTGATGGAAATATCCCTATTTCAAAGCTACCAGAGAATTTTAGATTTATTGTATGCTTATTTTTACACGTCCAATATTAGGATATGCAAGATGTGTTAAATGAGCCAAACATAACTCTCAAAGACATAAATGCTGTTCGGTGGTTGTTACTTGGGAATGCAATTGATGCATGTCATATCAATTATGATGCTGTGATCCTTGCCCTGACAGACATAATTGCAAACAGAAAAGCAAGGAATCCCATGGAAAAGGGCTCAGGACTACTTAAACAATGCTCACAATTTTCATTTGCAGCCACCTTGTTATTTTTGAGAGATGTGTTACTGATTATGAACGAAGTCAGTAGAATTTTTCAGTGCAATGATGTGGACTTCTCTATGTTGGTTAACATTCTAGAATCAACTATTAATT